AATTCTCACAAGTCACTGTCCCAGATCCTATTCTCTGTGTCGTGTATTTTATAACAGTTCCTACAGAATGCATTAATTTCAGATTAGTTAAAGCTGGGCTACCTACAGTACTGTATATATAAATATAAATCATGTACCACTAACTAGGACCTAGCTTTAAAACATTGTCCTCTGTCACATCTTCAAATCAAATTCCACATGGCTCTTTTGTACAAGTCTATAAAATACAACATGTTTTCATATTTCACTTTAACAAGACTCTGGGGGATAAATAAACGAACAAACAAACATGTGTTGTTTAAGAAATAAAATCCCAGTGTTAATAGAATGTCAGGGTAGAACAATGTGGTTGCAGTAAATGGTACTTACTGGGGTGGAGTGTCAGGGCCTGTCTGGCTGGATACCAATGAGGATCTGAAAGGATCACAGACGTTCAGACTTCTGCTCCAGGCCTCAGTTTATCTCCTCAGGGATGTATTTTGAGTCCTTTACTTTTCACATAGTACACTCACGATTGTGTGTCCTCCTCTGACTCAAACTTGATCATCAAATATGCTGATGACACCACCATCATCGGTCTCATCAGTAATAATGATGAATCCTCTTATAGAGCAGAGATACAAAATGTGGTTCAGTGGAGTCAAACTAACAACCTCCAGCTGAACGCATCGAAAACATGTGAACTGGTCTACGACTTCAGTCGCAATAGTTCTCATTTGCGTCATTAATCGACAACTCCCAGGTGCAGATCGTAGAGGAGTGCAAGTTTCTGGGTCTAACTCTGTCTAACCTGAAATGGGTTAAAAACACTGACCGAGTCGTTAAGACAGCTCATCAGCGTCTCTACTTTCTGCGTAAACTTAGAGAATTTACCACTAACTCTAAGATTCTGCTTAACTTTTATCGCTGCACCATTGAGAGTTTACTTGTTGGTTCTGTGTCTGTGTGGTTTGGAAACATGACAGATAAAGAAAAGAGAGCTTTAAACAAGGTGCTCCGCTCTGCAAAGAGGACCGTGGGCCGTGAGCTTCCTGTTCTGGAGGTTCTTTATAAATCCAGACTTTTAAACAAAGCTCTTAGGATTGTTAATGACTCTTCTGGCCACCCTGGAAAAGCCATGTTCCAGCTTCTTCCCTCTGGCAGAAGATATCGCTCTCTGAGATGCAGGACATCTCGTTACGCTAACAGTTTTTATCCACAAGCTGTTATCAGTGTGAACAGAGCACTTTAAAATGATCTTGCACTTGTTTTGATATTGTTTTGGTCGATCGATTTCACAGTGACATTTGTTTACTGTTTTATTTGTTTTATGTCTGTCTTTTAATGTTGTTTTATGTCTGTACTTGTGCACACTGGGGACTTTTGCAAATGTATTCCAATGTGGTTTTACTGCAAATGGCAAATAAATGAATCTGAATCTGATGACAATGAAACAAAGAGTTCATACTGTGCAAGCTGCAGGTCGAACACTATTCAGAGACCAGACCAAAATATCCACTTCTACTGAAACTTATGAACAATCAACTTGCTACTTTACTACACTAATTATTCATGCGCCAGAGGTAGAGACTTTATACTTACTTCTTATTATGCTTAAGTTAGAGATTCTATTTCAAATTACACATGAATAAATATAATTGAATTAAACATCCCATCACTTTTAAGTTTTTAATAAATTAAGATTGAAAATCCTAAAAGGTTCATCTCAATCTTAACAAAATTACTTACATAACTTGTGAAAAAGACTTTTTATTTCCCCTATTGTCGAATGTGGCTCCACCTGATTGAACATCATTAAAAATCACAACATGTTTAGAAACAATATTGGCAATAGTTACAATACAAAATATACCTTGTCTAAAAAGCAGAGCTGTTCTTTTGTTTTGGCATCGAGGATCTCCACCTGGAAAGACAGAATGCCTCAAAAAAGTATATATTCTTACTGTGATAAACTATTATGCATTCATTTGGAACTTTAAGACACATTTTGAGCTCCCAAAGGAATAAACAAGAAAACATTGTACTTTTGGGGGCCAATCGTCTCATTTTCTTGGCAGTGTTGTGCAGGCATCGATAAAAGGTCAAACAAAATGAATTTAATCTTTATTTGAAAGGGACTTTATACTACAATGACGAAGAAGTTACAGACAATTATGATCACACTGATAGACAATAGACAAGCACGTTATGTCTTATACGAGATTATGACGTCACATTTTTGAGATTTTAACCCATCCATCCATCCATTTCTGGGTCAGGGAGGTGGCAGTACACAGAGCACCAGCCCGAGATTTTAACTATTCTACAGTATTGTTACCTCATCAAAAACATACTGCATTTGTATTCAAAAGGGAAAAATCAAACTAACAAAACAAAGTGTACCTCTCTCTTTTGGAGCAAGAAAGGACAGGCCAGCATTTCATAAACCCTTGATACTTGTTTCACCATGTATTTTCTACTCAAGATATTATTTCACCATTGTCTGTAAATATTAACGGACGTAGGCACGCCTATCTCCTCCGTTGAAACTAATGTTCCACCACTTTTGGACCCTCCTGTAAAGCCGTTTTCGATAGGAAAGAAGGCGCCAGACAAAAGCATTGGATAATTCTGTTTTCTCTTTCCCAAATATAATGTGTAATATTTATTTGTTACATTTCTCTCACAATTTACATCTGCTTTAGTTTAGCACAAAACTCAAACTGCTTCCTGATTTTTCCTGATGCTTCCTGATGCATTAGCCTGTGTCAGTGTAAAGTGTACAGTGTTGATTGCAGGTCGGGGGTTGTTCAGACTGTGCTCCTCCTGGAGGACTCTCTGGACTCTGTAACACGTCTCTAATGGAAAGCTAAAGATGCACAGTCAGTTTGAATGCATTCCAGAGCAAGAATCTGCAAAAACAGCGTTTTAAAAAGCCCCACTCATTTAGTTAATGGCAGTAGAGTGTAGTTCACTCACATGGCATGTTTTATAATTTTGGCAGTTAGAAGTAACTGCAATAATAAGAATAATAATAATAATAGTTTGTCAAATGTAATTCTTGACAGCAATCACTTTGAAATTATATTTATTTGAATGCATTCATTTCTCTTCATCAATTCCTTTCTGGTGTAGGGACTTGGAGTATTGTACTAAATGAGCATCTGTCCCTCTCGGCTCTGAAAGTATATCCAGAAAGTTTGTCAAGAATCAAAACAAGTGGGAATCACACAATCGTGAAGTGGAACGAAATTTATTGGATAATTTAAACTTTTTTAACAAATAAAAAACTGAAAAGTGGGGCGTGCAATATTATTTGGCCCCCTTGCGCTAATACTTTGTAACGCCACCTTTTGCTGCAATTACAGCTGCAAGTCGCTTGGGGTATGTCTCTATCAATTTTGCACATCGAGAGACTGGAATTCTTGTCCATTCTTCCTTGCAAAACAGCTCGAGCTCAGTGAGGTTGGATGGAGAGCGTTTGTGAACAGCAGTCTTCAGCTCTTTCCACAGATTCTCGATTGGATTCAGGGTCTGGACTTTGACTTGGCCATTCTAACACCTGGATACGTCTATTTGTGAACCATTCCATTGTAGATTTGGCTTTATGTTTTGGATTATTGTCCTGTTGGAACATAAATCTCCGTCCCAGTCTCAGGTCTTTTGCAGACTCCAACAGGTTTTCTTCCAGAATGGTCCTGTATTTGGCTCCATCCATCTTCCCATCAATTTAGCCATCTTCCCTGTCCCTGCTGAAGAAAAGCAGGCCCAAACCATGATGCTGCCACCACCATGTTTGACAGTGGGGATGGTGTGTTCAGGGTGATGAGCTGTGTTGCTTTTACGCCAAACATATCGTTTTGCATTGTGGCCAAAAAGTTCGATTTTGGTTTCATCTGACCAGAGCACCTTCTTCCACATGTTTGGTGTGTCTCCCAGGTGGCTTGTGGCAACTTTAAATGAGACTTTTTATGGATATCTTTGAGAAATGGCTTTCTTCTTACCACTCTTCCATAAAGGCCAGATTTGTGCAGTGCACGACTGATTGTTGTCCTATGGTCTGATACTCCTTCCATTTCAATATAATTGCTTGCACAGTGCTCCTTGAGATGTTTAAAGCTTGGGAAATCTTTTTGTATCCAAATCCGGCTTTAAACTTCTCGGACCTGCCTGGTGTGTTCCTTTGTCTTCATGGTTCTCTCTGTGCTTTAAACAGAACCCTGAGACTATCAAAGAGCAGGTGCATTTATACGGAGACTTGATTACACACAGGTGCATTCTATTTATCATCATCAGTCATTTAGGACAACATTGGATCATTCAAAGATCCTCACTGAACTTCTGGAGTGAGTTTGCTGCACTGAAAGTAAAGGGGCCGAATAATATCGCACGCCCCACTTTTCAGTTTTTTATTCGTTAAAAAAGTTTAAATTATCCAATAAATTTTGTTCCACTTCACGATTGTGTCCCACTTGTTGTTGATTCATGACAAAATGTTTTATATCTTTATGTTTGAAGCCTGAAATGTGGCAAAATGTTGAAAGGTTCAAGGGGGCCGAATACTTTCGGAAGGCACTGTACTTTTGAACAAGAAAAGTCACGGAGCTCGAGTTGGTGCTTCAGTACAATCGGCCCGTCTAAAACTCATCCAGTGAGCAATGTTCCGCGGTGGAAATAACACATGCGATTAAAATGCGTCAATTTTTTTAACGCGCTAATTTTTGAGGGGTTAATTAATCGTAATTAACGCGTTAAAGTCCCGGCCCTAATATTAGCTCATTCTGAGGTCTGCTAAACTGGTTAAATTACTTTACACACTGTGGCTTATTTTCATAGTATGCACCCAGATCATTTGATGCGATAAATCTTGCAGTCCTGGCCCTTCCAAGTGTCGCAGCAGCACAAAATAGAAACATTAAGAGGAGATTAGAATAGAAACCTTGCAGATCTAAGGTTCTGAGATGGTTCCAGGGTTTGTCACATAAAGCGTGTGTTAGGAACGTGAAGTGAAGAGCTCGGACCTGATGATGACAGCCAGAGCTCCCAGAGGCGTCACCAGTGTGGCCGGGGCGAAGGCGTACGCCACGAAGTTACAGACCTCCCCTGCTCCCACTGAAACACAAACACACAACTGTTGTTTAGTGCTTTAGTATCATTATATCGTTTGTGTTTTTCTATCTGTAAATGTTACTGCAGTAGTGTTCATGGTTTTACACTGATCCAGACCAGAGCAGAGATGGTCCCAACCAAACAGATGATGCGGAAATCCACTGGAGGGATGCCAATTTTTTCAACAAATGCTTGATTTAATCCCTTTACAGCTCAGGGATTAAATACAATTTATCAGCATGCATATAAAATGGGTCACTCCACAACTACTGCACTTACTCAGATTACCGATCATTGGTTACAGGAAATTGATAATAAAAAGATGGTTGGCACAATATTTTTAGATTTAAGTGCGGCTTTTGATCTTTTAGATCATACAATTTTACTAAATAAGTTGAAATGTTATGGATTTCAGTTGCCTGCCTTAAAGTGGTTAGAAAGTTATCTAAGTAATCGGGAGTATAAAGTTTATTTTAATGGACATTATTCTGAGATTGGACATATGGATTGTGGAGTGCCCCAGGGAAGTTGTTTGGGACCCCTTTTATTTTCGATTTTTACAAATGATCTTCCCCTGGTGTTAAAACAGGCAACCATGGCTATATATGCAGATGACACAACATTGTCTGCGTCTGCACAAACAGACTGCCAACTTAATAACATTCTGCAGGAGGAACTGACTTTAGTAACTCAATGGATTAGAACTAACAAATTAGTGGTTAATGTCGAAAAAACTAAATGCATGGTAGTTGGTTCAAAACACCTATTGAAAACAACACCGATGTTACATTTGACTTCAGGAAATACGAGAATTGAACAAGTAGATCAAGTAAAATTGTTGGGAGTGATTGTAGATTCTAGACTGTCGTGGACCAGTCAAATTAATTGTCTATTACAGAAAATGGGGAGGAGTATGGGCATAATTAAATATTGTAGAAAGTGTATTCCTCGGTGGTTGACCAAACAACTAGTTCAATCACTTGTACTTTCATACTTAGACTATGCATCAGTTGTTTGGTCAAACACAAGTGAAAATAATTTACATAAGTTACAAGTAGCTCAAAATAAAGCAGCACGGATTGTTTTAGGTTGCCCATACAGAACCAATGTGAGGACAATGCATGATAGTTTGGCGTGGTTAACAGTCAAATGTAGATTAAAGTATTTCCTAATAACATTTATTAGGAACATTATTATGACAAAAATACCTAAAGTCATACATAATAAATTGTCATTTTTCTCAGATAATCATAGTTATGGAACACGCCAGACCAGTGCAACAAGGTGTGCTCTACCCTGTTGTAAAACTAATCAGATGCAGCGAACTGTTTGTTACAGAGCCGTGGTTGCCTGGAATTCTTTACCAGGATTTTTGTTGTTAGAAAACAGCAAAATATGTTTTAAAAATAAACTAAAGGTGTTTTTGTTTACACAAGAATGATGTTGGATTAATACGGTAACTAACCATGTGATAGGCAAGTTCCAAGCTGGTGCTGTAATGGGATCCGTGGGCAGTCGAGTTGTTAGGTTGAGATTTATGTTTCATACAAAACTTCAAATATTTTGATTACTGTAAATGTTTTACTTTTGTTTAGGTAATGGATTATTCGTTTTACTTTGTTAAATGGAAATGGTAAAAATGCTGTTATTGCTGTTTTAGGTCGATTCTACTTATCTATTTTTGGTTTTATGTGATATCGTTGGCCGTATGGCATAATTGTTTAGGTCATTTTGTATTGTTGAAATGGTAATGAGGAAAAACAATGTGTTTCCTATAAAATGTCTTTTACATGTTTTACGGGCAAAGATGAGTCGGGCGGTTGTGCTGTGTGGCTAGCGACATGTTTTGTTCGGTTTCACATTGAGCTCCCACGGTTGGTTTGTGTGTATGTGTGTGTGTGTTGTGGTTTTGTTTGTTTTGTTATGTTGTAAACATTTGTAATGAAAATGAAGGAGACCCCAGGTAGAATAGCCCCGGCAATAAGTCAGGAGCTAATGGGGCTCTCAATAAAATGAAATGAAATGAAATGAAATGAAATGAATATCAAAAAAAAAAAAAAAAAAAAAAAATGCAAGTATTCCGAATTTCACTCTGAACCAGAGCAGGAAAATGGTCAGAACCAAGCCGACTCTGCAAACATCAACCAGAGGAAGCAGCTCATGTTTGAGAGATGTGATGTTGCACTTATTGTATGTATTATTTGTTTGTTTGGATGGATGTGTTTCTGCTGCTGGACACCTGCATTTCTCCTACAGGGATCAATAAAGCATCTATCGTCCTATAAATTCATCATAAATACAACTTCAGGGACGTCACTCACTGGTCAGCAGCCCCCCCCACCACAGCCAGTCCTTCAGGTACCCGTGGCCTCCGTCTCCTGAAATACACACACACACACACCTTTAGGGACGAAATGAAGACTAGTAAACCCTCCTAACTTCTCTCTCTGCATTTAGACAAAGGGGGCGGGAGGATGCGGGCTAGAAGTAGGTTTGGCCAAAATATCAAAATAATAAGTCAGATATAAACTGGATAAATGAAGCAAGTATCAATAACATAATAAAAAAGGTTCTTCTCTCTCCTCCTCTCCTTCTCTCACCTCTCCCATCCTCTTCTCTCTCCTGTTTCATCCCATCTCCTCTCCCTCCCCCATTTCTCCCTTTCTCCAGAAAGGTCAGAGCAGACGTTTCCTCCGAGAGAAGACTAAGGTCCATGGATGTGAGCAGTCAGATGTTGCATATATTTTACCAGACTGTTGTAGCTAGTGCCGTGTTCTTTGGGGCAGTCTGACCTCGAGAGACAGGAACCGGCTCGACAGGCTGATCAGGAAATGTGTCTCTGTGATGGGGAGATGTGTGAACTCTGTGGGAGCTGTGCTGGAGAGAAGGATGAGGGCTCTAATGCAGGGCATCCTGGGTAACTCCAGACACCCTCTGCATGACACTATGGCCGCTCAGAGGAATAATCGAAGCAACAGGATCCTATCACTACGCTGCCGAACGGAACGTTTCAAGAGATCCTTTGTTCCTTCGGCTGTCAGACTGTACAACAAACCTGGATGAGTCTTCTGATGCTGGACACCTGAATAATTTCTCCTACAGGGATCAATAAAGTATCTATCTATCCTCCTCGTCTGATCTCTTTCCCTCCTCGCTCTTGTCTCTCTCCAGCCAACTCCCCTCTTTGCTTTCCCTCAATTACTCCTCTCCTTTCCTTTCCTCTTCTCTTCTCTCTCCTGTTACCTCCCCTCTCCTCTTCTCTCACCCCCCCTCCTCTTCTCTCACCCCCCCTCCTCTTCTCTTTCTCCCCTCCTCTCTCCGCTCTTCTCTCTTCCTCTTCTCTCTCACCTGCTCTCGTGCTCCCGTCATTGGGCAGACGCATCAGAGCCATCTTCTTCAAGATCACGCTGCCGCCGATCAAAATGGCCGACACCACGGCAATGACCAACCCCAGGACCAGGTTATAGGGGTTGCTGTCATGTTCCACTGGAAACACAACACGTTCACAAAGATGAGAACACACAGTACGCTGCTGGAAAGTTACGAGATGCCTCGTAACTTTCCAGATACATTCATCATATAAACTCTGGAAATGACAATATCTGGTTACGTTTAACATTTGATTTTCACACAGGCTCAACTGTAGCAGCAAGACATCACAGGGACCAGAGCGAGAGAGCGAGAGCCCAGAAAGTGACCGGACACAGGGACTAGAGACCAGAGAGCGAGAGAAACTAGAGAGAAAGACCAGAGTGAGAGCACGTAGACAGACCAGAGAGACCAGAGTCCAAAACAAAACAATGAAACCCCTGCAGAGGAACAGTTTACTGTATCCAAATAATCCAAATGAGGAAGGGGCCTCTACGCTCCAAACACCTACATTTCTAAATCAGTTGACACAGAGTTGTGTGTGACACACTACGGATATGGATGTTGACATTTTAGTCGACTAAAGCAGAATGCATCTGCAGCAATGAGACTGAACCAGTTTTCTTCCAAACCTTCCACAGGTGAATGAACTGAGCTCTTCAGCTCGAGCTCAGTCCAGTTCCTCATTTGAACAGACCCCTGTTGTGTCGGTTACATAACACTGAGCAGGACCCCCTCCACATAATCTGTTTTGATATGTTTTTTCAATTATTATTATTATATAATTATTTTATTATTGTCTCATACTTTGGGCCATAACGAGTTGATGGGGCTCACTCCCAACTCGGCCCCGTTTGGTCTCGGGGGACAAAAAAAAACTGTATTTTGTCCGCCTTTTGCAAAAATGATGTAATTAAAGGTGCTGAGACCACATACCTTGTCATTAGAGGTGGGGAAATTTACAATTCTTAGATTAATGCGCGACTCGGCCGTGGAAGAATTGAGAACGATTCACAAACATCCAAATTCTGATTTTGAATACGTCGAGTAAAGCAGAACTGAAATACAGTAAGAACGGTCTTTGAAACGCTTTAGGGGACGGGCCGAGAGCAGGCATCCACAGCCCAATCCTCCAGAAAAACAAAACAAGCCTGGCTGAGCTCACCAACCCCTCGCTGTGAGACCCCACCTGCTCCGGTCGCCTCTTGAGCCACACTCTCCAAACGCACACTCTGTGAAGTTGGCCCCTCATTGATCAAGCACAAAACTGAACCAATCAATAGTGCTTCTTTGGGCGGCTTTTGTTTTCAAGTTTACGCAAATATATCATCGAGGACGTCATCGATCAGTCTGGGCGGCTCTGTAGTGCTTTTAACGGCCAAAATAATATGACGCCTCTAAAAATGAACGTTTGTGTATTTATGCTGTGGGTGAGCTGCCTCCACGTCACAAAAGGAAAAGTGAATTCGGGCGTTCTGCTCTCCCAAAATTTCATCCACTGAGCGGCGCTGTGATCAAAAAATGACACCGTTTGTTGCCCAGTTCACTTCCGGTTGATTTCATACATTGGCGAATATGGCTCACGAAAACAACAAACGATTGACAGTGCCTGAATTGCGTGAAAGGTTGAAGCGAAAGGGTATTTGCAGTGTGGGAAAACGAAAGGAGGAATTGTTGTTGCTAGTTCAACGAGCGGATGGTGTTTATGAAGATTTAGAAGAAGATGACAGCGAGCAGAGTGAACGAAAACGGCTGTGTGTGCGAGTGACAGATGGTAACAATGAGAATGAAGTTCAGCTAAGAGGGAAGAATGTGAATTGGACGGATGATTTGCGCGATATGCCACTAGTTAGAGACGGGAATGTATTTGCATAATGTAAAATGACAAAAACACTCAACCATTTAGAGAAAATGCGCCGGGCAGAGAGAACCGGAAGTTGCGAAGGCAAGTGTTACCCATAATGCAACGCAAAATTCAGTCGCTCCCCCGCCCATCGGATGGAATTTTGGGAGAGCAGAACGCCCGAATTATGAACGACATTATTGTTTCGTGCTGTTGATCCTGAAGCGGTTCATTTCAGACTGAGTGTATTAATTATAACTAACTGCAAAATCAAATACAGAAAAAAAAAACACATACACTGGAAAATAGGGGTGTGACGATATATCGATTTTTTGATATATCACGATACTTTCTCCCGCGATTCGATTATCGATATGCATTTGCCAAGTATCGATATCGATTTTGTAAAAAAAAAAAAAAAAGTTGAATTATTATTTTTTTGTACAATTTTTTTTTGAATTGGTATCAATACTTAATATGTAGCTACATTATGCATCTCCATTCTATTTATCATGAAATAAAGAGTATTTTTTCTTTTATTTATGCCATAAATTGGCATATTGTATATTTCTGACCAATATATTCGCAGAGGCATTATAAAGACAGCAGCGCAGCGCTCTGGCCTCATCTGAGAGTTTTACCACAGAACAGTAAAAATGAGTGGAAGAGGCAAAGGAGGAAAGGGACTCGGGAAAGGAGGCGCCAAGCGTCACCGCAAAGTTCTCCGTGACAACATCCAGGGCATCACCAAGCCCGCAATCCGCCGTCTGGCTCGCCGAGGCGGTGTGAAGCGTATCTCCGGTCTGATCTACGAGGAGACCCGCGGAGTGCTCAAGGTTTTCCTGGAGAACGTGATCCGTGACGCCGTCACCTACACCGAGCACGCCAAGAGGAAGACCGTGACTGCCATGGACGTGGTGTACGCGCTGAAGAGACAGGGCCGCACCCTGTACGGCTTCGGAGGTTAAACACAGGACTGTAACAAAAACAAACGGCTCTTTTAAGAGCCACCCACTCAAAAAGGAGAAACTTCCCATATGTGGTCGTTATCATTGAGGTCCTACCTTTACAGAATCTGTAATCTAATAGACAATCACGTGAAGAGTCACAACTGCACTTGCCTGGCCTTAGCCATCCGTACACCACTCAATCATTTTCACTGCAAAATCTAATTTGTACTATAGTGTGGTGCTATGGCTCATCACTAAACACAACGGCAGAGCCGCCCGCGCAAAGAGAATCAACTTCTGTCGTGACAACTAAAGCAAACTTAATGACTTAACCAGTGGTTTCTTTTTTCCGTCCAGCTCCAACGACCTGTGACAGTGTAATTGTAACATTTGTGTCCATTTAACTCTGTACGACAGTGAGTTGAGTTGACGAGGTCAATTTAGTTGTTTAAACCGGTGTTTTAAACTTATTATATTCAATGTCTCTGAATATTTCCATAAACCTAGAGGAGCTCCTCTTTTTTTTCCCCCCAAACTTTCTCCACAGTTTTTTTGTCCTTCGTCCGTGTCCTCCTTCAGAAAGCGAGAGGGAGGAGGGAGGGGGGAGTCTGACCAATCACGTGAGAGGAACAGCGCAGCTGCTCTGCATGAGGCGAGTATAGAATGAGCGCACGTTCCCGCTCTCACTCATTCTGTACTCAGAGAAGCATGCCTGAACCAGCAAAGTCCGCGCCCAAGAAGGGCTCCAAGAAAGCCGTCACCAAGACCGCCGGCAAAGGTGGCAAGAAGAGGAGAAAGAGCAGGAAGGAAAGCTACGCCATCTACGTGTACAAGGTGCTGAAGCAGGTCCACCCCGACACCGGCATCTCCTCCAAGGCCATGAGCATCATGAACTCCTTCGTCAATGACATCTTCGAGCGCATTGGCGGAGAGGCCTCCCGCCTGGCACACTACAACAAGCGGTCCACCATCACCTCCAGGGAGATCCAGACCGCAGTGCGTCTGTTGCTGCCCGGAGAGCTGGCCAAACACGCCGTGTCTGAGGGCACCAAGGCCGTGACAAAGTACACTAGTTCCAAGTAGACGAAGCCGTTCACTACGCAACATAAAGGTCCTTTTCAGGGCCACCCACACACAATAAAGAGTTTCTTCTATAATAATGACATGATGTGTGCACACTGTAAACTGACCAGAATACAACCAGTTTTCTGTTCTCGGTCCCACATATAGGCCTTCTTTTAATGAGGACAAACTGCTTTTTCTTTAAGCGACACGCGCATTGATACGGGTTTCGCTGTACGAACTTTGCACATGCGCTGGTGTATCAGTGAATCATTTTGACTTGTTAACAACAAATGGGATGATGTTTGTATTTCATGTTTCACGCTTTATCTATAATCGATATTTAATTCTCAATGTTTTAGAAGGAAGCATGAGCCTGATTTAAAGATTCACAGATTAACTAAATTAGTACAGTGGTGTTTACTCACAAATGGTGTGAAAACTGGATTTCTTGCGGGTGGTTTGATTCATTTTTTTATATTGATATTCTCTAAAGCTAAGGAGATGGTGTCCAAAAAACACTTTTTTGGGGGATAAAAACACTCAATGATTGTTTTCTCAATTTTTTTTCACATGTTAAATGCTGTATTTCTGAACTAATTTCCACCCTCATCGGACTAACATTCTGCCCAGAAACCTCATTCAATGATTTCATTTCTTGTTTCAGGGCTCAGAACAAATCAATGGCCCAAAACCTCTATCTGCAATTGGTTCGATTTTGGGTTTTCACAATAAATGGAAAGAAGAAGGATGACTCCACATTGTCAGGCTATTTGCAAGATAATTTAGCATCTGAACTGCTTGTAATTTCTTCAGCACAAAACCTTCTATCTACATCAGCAGATGATTATGCTTATTTTTGGGACATCTGTGGCATGTAAATAGTTTAAAATGTCTGCTTAATTGTAACTGTTGATTGTTTTAACAGTAATTATGCACATTGCTATTAGATATTTTGTTACTATTTGTAATAATGTAATCATGCATGCGAATGAGTTGGCGCACTGCTGTGAAACGTTTCATGATACCATAGATAGAGTGACTAAATAGGAAAAAAGTGAACACCACTTAAAATTGTACAGATTCTCAAATCATTGTAATTTTGTGTCATTAATTAGCCTTTTCCAGGTTTTGGAATTGGGGAGATTCGTCGAGGGCCTGTTGCATGGTTAAGGGCATGCGAGGAAATCTGACATGGGTGTCAGACACAGTAACTTATTAAAAGTTCAGACAGACAGAAATAGTTCTAACAGTAGGGTTGTTAAATGTGGTTTAATGAACGTCAGATCAATCTCGTCTAAATCGCTTCTCATAAACGAACTTATTATAGACAAGGGCTTGGATTTGTTTGCGCTCTCGGAGACTTGGCTCCAACAGGACGACTACGTTAGATTGAATGAGTGCACTCCTCCGACGCATGTTAACTACCAGAAAGCCAGAACTACAGGTCGCGGCGGTGGTATTGCGATGATATCACAAACCAACTTGGTTCTTAGTCCCAAAACCAACAATGCTTTTCACTCGTTTGAAAACTTAACACTTTCAATCACCTGTCCTGGGTGGAGAAAACAAAAAGCGGTGCTATTTATAGTTTTATACCGACCTCCTGGTCCTTACAGCGAGTTCCTAACAGAATTCTCTGACTTAATTTCAAACCTAGTTTTGGAATGGGAAAACATAGTTATAACTGGAGACTTCAATATACATGTGGACGACAGCACTGACAGCTTAAACAAAGCTTTCAGCGCCGTACTAGATGGTGTTGGTTTTACTCAGAATGTTGAGGAACCTACTCACATTCATAACCACACCTTGGACCTTGTCCTGACCTACGACTGTGATGTCTCCAATGTTGACATCCAGCGTCAAAGCTCGTTGCTGTCTGACCATTTCTTGATCACGTTTGATCTCGATTTGGAGGACTTTCCTGTCCCGCAAGATAAAACCATAATGAAAAGAACCTTAAAGGAATAGTTCACCGTTTTTACATACTGACATATGTTCTTACCTTACCTTAGACTAGTTAATATGTACCTGTCTGGTCTTAGTCCGTGCGCTCTGTCATGCAAACGGAGCAAAAACGGGAGCACAAATGCAGCCTCCTCTGTATACTGTATAGTACCCAAAAGGTAGCTCCCGCTAGAAGCTACCAAACTCTTCCAAGTGTTCCCTATTAAATGTATATAGTTACGTGACGTGTTACACTGCAAAGTATAGTAACACAGAAATGTAACAGTTGATTTTCTCAGCGGATAAAACGGGTACTATATTGTGAGGCGTAGTAATCTGAGGTGCGCTACGTCCGCGCACTAACTTCTCTCCGGAGACTTCTCTCTCGCTCACTTCCGTCAATAGAAGCAGCGTGACTTGTAATACACACAGTAGCAGCGAGAGAGAAGTCTCTGGAGAGAAGTTAGTGCGCGGACGTAGCGCTCCTAACTTCTAAGTCATTAAAAGGATGACTCTTAACTTCCTACTTCTCAACCCGGAGAAGACAGAAGTGATCCTACTCGGTCCGAAGCGCCTGCGTGACTCCCTCACTAACCAGATAATTACTCTCGATAATGTCAGTATTATACCCAGTAACACTGTGAGGAATCTTGGAGTCATTTTTGACCAAGAACTCTCCTTCAAGGCTTATATAAGCCAAGCAACTAAAACGGCGTACTTCCACTTACGGAACATCGTTAAAATTAGGAATTTCCTTCCTAAAAGTGACGCGGAAAAACTTATTCACGCGTTTGTCACCTCAAGGCTCGACTACTGTAACGCTTTATTGGCAGCGTGCCCTAAAGCCTCTTTGAAGAGCTTCCAGCTCGTTCAGAATACAGCAGCTAGGATCTTAACAAGTACCAAAAGGAGGGAGCACATAACTCCGGTGTTAAAATCACTCCACTGGCTCCCTGTGGAGTACAGAATAAAGTTTAAAATCCTACTCTTAACATATAAAGCCATAAATGGCTTGGCTCCTTCTTATCTCCAAGACACGTTAGTGTCGTATCAACCAAGTCGAGCGTTGCGCTCACAAAACGCCAGACGTCTGGTGGTTCCTAAGGTCTCAAAAATCACTGTTGGCGGCAGAGCATTTAGCTACCAAGCTCCTTTACTGTGGAATCAGCTTTCCATTTATGTTAAGAAAGCAGATACGGTCTCCACATTCAAGGCCAGGCTTAAAGCACTCTACTTTAATTTAGCATATAATTAGGTAATATATAATATATGGTGTATATATTATATATATATGCTGTATTATGTTATATATTATGTTATATATTATACAATATATGTATTATGTTATGTATTGTGTAATGTTGTATATTATGTTATATATTATGCTATATATTATGTTATGTATTACATATGATATATATGGTATGTATGGTATATATGATGTATATGACATATAATATATAATTAGGTTTGCTTAGCCTAGCCGTGGCTGCTGCTGTCTCGCCTCCTTTCAGATACGCTCTCTTTATTCAAGGCTAGGTTTAAAACAGTCCTCTTTAGTTTAGCATATGGCTAGGAAGGTAAGACTCAGAGAAGGCTAAACTCCTCAGACTGTCAGTCAAGCTGCATAGGGAGTCAGTTTGCTGGGAGAAGTATGGTAACTTGAGCACTATCCTCTCCTCCTTCCTACTTTATCTGTTTAGCATTTTTAGGATTTTGACTGTAGTTTGTTCATTGCTATTCACCCGTTGTCCCATTGTCTGTTTCATGGTACGATGACGGGATCTCTGAGCCTGGCCTCCTCCATCTACACCTGCGGACTGCCCCGCCCGACCCGCCTGGGAGTACTTCAGTCCTGCACCGGACCTGTCCACGTTCAGCGGCCACTGGTCCACGTTCTGTAGCTAGCTTAGGTCCTAGATCATTAGCCTGTCCGTCCGGAGGAGCGGATCCCTTTCTCATATGGGTCTCCCTCCCTGTGGGTTTCCCTAGTTCTCCTCCAAGGTTTCTCACTTTTTCCCACTGGGTTTTTTAAGAGTTTTTCCTTGTCGATGCAGGAGGGTCTTGTTGGACAGTTAGTGTCCAACAGAAAGGATTGGTGATGATCAGGACACTTTAGCATTCTACAACATGTATGGACATTTTCTTCTGTGTGTGCTTTATATTTTTCATGTGTTTTAACTGTTGATTCTCTGACCTGTGTTGGTGATTTCAATGGTTTTGTTAAGTCTCTGAGATGACTTCTGTTGTGACCTAGGGCTATACAAGAATAAATTGTATTGTATTGTATTGTATTGTATCTCTCTCCGGTCTCTCTCAGGAATCTCTCTGGTCTCTCCAGTCTTTCTCTGTTCTCTCTGTTCTCTCTCCGGTCGCTCTCTGGTCGCTCTCTGGTCTCTCTCTGGTCTCTCTCTAGTCTCTCTCTAGTCTCTCTCTGGTCTCTCTCTGGTCTCTCTCTGGTCTCTCTCCGGTATCTCTCTAGTCTCTCTCTGGTCTCTCTCTGGTCTCTCTCTGGTCTCTCTCTGGTCTCTCTCCGGTCTCTCTCTGGTCTCTCTCTGGTCTCTCTCTAGTCTCTCTCTGGTCTCTCTCTGGTCTCTCTCCGGTCTCTCTCTGGTCTCTCTCTGGTCTCTCTTTGGTCTCTCTCTAGTCTCTCTCTGGTCTCTCTCTGGTCTCTCTCCGGTCTCTCTCCGGTCTCTCTGTGACCCTAAAATAAGCAATGGAATAATTTTAAAAGGGGAAAAATTACACAATGTCGTTAGCGATTGCCACGGTAACCACGTGACCCTGTTTTGGTAAAGTGCTGGTGGAAAGTGCCGTCAGCAGATGTTGAGTGGTCACTCGGTTGCCGTTGCCGCTCATCGTATCACGTGGCTCATTAGCTCCGTTTGCTTTTCGCTAATTGAACCAAAGCCATGGATCCGTGCGCTGAATCGTGGCTAACGTGCACACGCATCTTCACGGCTGCGTTAGGAAGGGGGGCGTGGCCAATGAGAAGGGGGCGTGGCCAGCGATGTCCGGCTGCGTATAAAAATGTCCAGAAAACCATGGCTCAGTCTCAGCTCCACCAACGGCAAACGGCTCCTAGTTCCAAAGTCTCCTGCTGCAAACGTCACAGGTACGAGACCGAGACACGAGACCGAGATACGAGACCGAGACAGACCGAGATATTTTTCTAAATAACACTCTGATGCATATTACAATATGTTTTAAAAGTTACATTTTACATCTAACATGATTTTTAACCAGGGGTGTACTAACGTCTTTGTTTGAGAGCCATTTTAATTCACCAGGAGCCTACGTCCCAGAATATAAACCCAGATTTAAAATTTCTGACCTTCCCTCTCTCCGGTCTCCCCCTGATCTCTCTCTGGTCTCTCTCTGGTCTTTCTCCGGTCTTTCCCTGATCTCTTTCTGGTTTCTCTATGGTACCTCTCTGGTCTCTCCTTGGTCTCTCTCTGGTCTCTCTCTGGTCTCTCTCTGGTACCTCTCTGGTACCTCTCTGGTCTCCCTCTGGTCTCACCCTGGTCTCTCTCTGGTGTCTCTCTGGTCTCACCCTGGTCTCTCCCTGATCTCTCTGGTCTCACCCTGATTCCTCTCTGGTCTCTCTCTGGTCTCTCTTTGGTCTCTGCCTGGCCTCTCCCTGGTCTCTTATCTCTCTTTCTGGTCTTTCTCTGATCTCTCCCTGATCTCTCTCTGGTCTTGTGTGATTGTTTCCATCTTGTTTTGTTCAGCACTTTGAGTTTCCTTGTGTATGAACTGTGCTATACAAATAACCTTGCCTTTCCATGGACCTGGTCTCTTTCCCAGATAAGATGAGCCGCTGTCTGCAGTCCGCCTTGCTCCTGGCCCTCCTGGTGGTCCCGTGGTGGGGGTCCCAAGTGGCCGCCGTCCCTCCCCAGCACCTGTGTGGGTCCCACCTGGTCGACGCCTTGTACCTGGTGTGTGGAGAGAGGGGCTTCTTCTACAACCCCGGCCGCGGAACCAGAGACGTGGACTCACTACTCGGTCAGAGCACCCCCTGCTGTGCTGTTTAAACATGTTCCAACCATGGTTTTAGCTCCATAGGTTCTCAGCATTCAAATTCAAAACAAAATGTCCTGTTGTTTTCAGATAGTTTTGATAGTTATTAGATTCGAAAAGCCACCATATGAGTCTTATGGTCTCTGGTGTCTCTCTGGTCTTTATGCCTAGTCTCTTTCTGGTTTCTTGTTTTTATGTGCAGAAATAATGCGTAATATACATTCTTTGCAATGGTTTCTCTAGTCTCCTTCTGTGTCTCTCTGGTCTCTCTCTGGTTTCTCTCTGGTCTCTCTCTGGTCTCTCTCTGGTCTCTCTCTGGTTTCTCCCTAGTCTCTCTCTAGTCTATCCCTGGTCTTTCTCTGGTCCCTCTCTAGTCTTTCTCTGGTCTTTCTCGGGTGTCTCTCCAGTCTCTCTCTAATTCCTCTTTGGTCTCATATCTTCATGAGCAGAAACAATGCGTATGACATGTATTCTATGAGAGACCGTGTACCATAACTCCTCCTGCTCCTCCCCCCTGCAGGCCTGCTCCCCCCTAAACCCGTGACCCAGAACGAGGTGGCCGAGTTCGGATACAAAGACGCGATGGAGATGGTGGTGAAGCGAGGCATCGTGGAGCAGTGCTGCCATCAGCCCTGCAACATCTTCGACCTCCAGAACTACTGTAACTGAAGACCCCCTACACACACGCTTTTCCCAAATCAATAAAAGTGTGGATTCGGAAGACATGTGTGCTGTTTGGACTGGAATTATTCTCTTTCAAATCACTAGATATACAAAAGCTATCTCATTCTTGTCCCTCTCTCTCTGATCTGCCTTTCTGGTCTTTCTCTGCACTCTTTATCTGGTCTCTCTCTGGTTTCCCTTTCTGGCGTCCCTGGTCTCTCTCTGGCGTCCCTGGTGTATCTCTGGTCTCTCTCATCTCTCGCTGCTGTCTCTCTGATGTCTCTTTGGTGTTTCCCGGTATAGCTCTGCTCTCTCTCTCTCTCTGGTCTCCCTCTAATAATAATAATAATAATAATAATGATAATAATAATAATAATAAATGTTATTTAAAAGCGCCTTTTAAAACACCCAAGGACACTGTACAGGACATAATAACACCACAAAACAATATCATGTCTGGTATAGAAGAACCCAATACTTTAATGGTCTCCCTCTCTCTTGAGACCAGATCTGGTCTCTCTCTGGTCTCTCTCTGCTGTCTCATTGTCTCCCTCTGGTCTCTCTCTTTGTTCTCTCTATGTGGTCTCACTCTGGTGTCTCTCTTCTCTCCCTTTGGTCTCTCTCTCTCTGGTCTCTCTTTGGCTTTTACTTTTCCCAGAGTACTTTTCACAGATTTTTATAGTGGTATGTAAATGATATAAGAGAATAGAGACAGAAAAGTGAAAAGGATCCACCCTCACTCATCCAATCAGCTTTTAGCCCAAATCGTCAAATAGTGACTCACATGGCTCTTTCTTACACATAAATAACATTTTGCAGAATATCGTGATCTGACAAAATGTTTTTTTTTTTCCTTTTTCACAAACAACATGCATTAACTATATTCTGGTCAGGATGGGGGGTTATTAAGTCAGGTACCCCAGCTTTAATAGCGTTCACATATTTGTCTGTCTTTGTGGAAGTGGAGGCTGAGCTCAGAGCGTCCTTCTCACCGGTGCACGCCCGCCTCAGTGCCTCTGGGCGTGGCTCCAGTCTGCCCTCTCCCCCGGGACCTCTCACTCTCTCCCCGGGTCTCCTGCACTCAGACACGGCTCCGCTCTCCTCCAGCTTCCCCCGAGTTCCACGTCTCATGGATCCCGCTGTGCATCCCCGCGGACTTTTACCTTAGTTTTTGTGGTTGTTTGTGAGTTTTTTTCCTCCGCGGTGACGTTGAAGCAGAGACGCAGAGATGCTGGACGTGCACCTGCGGAACAACACGTGCTCCAACGGTAAGTCCCGGTGATGGTCCCTGGGGATAGCGGAGCAGCTAACAGGTGCTAACGATGCTAACTTATGCTAAAAACACATTTCACTCATAAGGTTTCACTGTAGGAATAATTTGCCTTCTTTATTTGGTCTTTCTACAATGATAATAATAATAATAATATTTGGCAATAATGATAATATTAATTGTTATATTATTATTAACAACAACAACACTTCAACTTTTATACAAGTCGTGTTTTTTTTAAGCTGGGGTACCCAAATTATTATTTTTCCATAAAAAACACATGTAGTTTGTCCGACAGAAAGAGTAAATTGTTGTGACCAAATCAGACCACATGCTGTCTTGATTTTTTTGTTTTTTGTTAAGTCTTTGTTAAAAGAAAGTGTGTGAGTCACTGACAGACAAAGGCCAAACATAGATGTGTGTGAAAAATATTGATAGAAACTCTATGGCCTCTCTCTGGTCTCTCTCTGGTCTCTCTCTGGTCTCTCTCTGGTCTCTCTCTGGTCTCTCTCTGGCCTCTCTCTGGCCTCTCTCTGGTCTCTCTCTGGTCTCTCTCTGGTCTCTCTCTGGTCTCTCTCTGGTCTCTCTCTGGTCTCTCTCTGATAGCAGCAAACTGTTATAGAGCCAGGAACTATAGTGACATGGACTTGAATAAAGTTCCAATGTTGTGGTTTGAAAGAAACATACCCTAGCTTTATATTAATAACATTTCTTGATAAAGTATTAAAATGTGGCTGATAGTTGTTGTACTCTGAAAGTTAGATACCTGAGCTTTAATTACTGTCCTCACAAGTGACTGGTGATTTTCGCTGCAGTATTCACAGCAGTGGGTAGAGTTATGTAATATGTCTTCTATTACTTACTTACTTACTTACTTATTATTTTCTTTCTCTTTGTATTAGTTTTCCAGCTCAGTGTTGGTCTGACGGATCACAGAGCCTGCGTAAACGTTGTTCTGTTGACAGGGTAAATATCAAACGCCCGGAGCCTGATCTCGGCTCACATTTCACTGCATAGGTGGTCAAACCGGTCCTAGGGCGGACCACGCTTTACAGGGGCTCGCAAAAGTATCCATACCACATTGACTATTCCACATTCTCAACAAAACCACAAACAAAGTAATCGTTTTTTTTCTCTGTGAACTAGTTGTATATCTTTTTAATAAAATTTTAGCCCAATGCTATACTGCAGATTTCTAAAGAGGGACAGTATGTAACTGAAATTGTAAAGTGAAATTGTACGCAGTAAAGAGAAAACAAAATGTTTAAACAAAAACTGTTTCTCTGGTGTTCCCCACCAAAGCCGTATTTTTACCAGAATCAGAATGGTTGTATTGCCAATGTAAGTACCAGGAAGCCACAGACTAGGAATTTGAATAAAAATAAAAATATTTCAATAACACTAAATACAACTGCGTACGTACACGTGACCAAATACAATTAAATAAACAATAATACACGCAAAATTATCTTAAACAAATTAATTTAGTACAATCTAACTAAGTTATCTAAAAACTAACTTGAATTCTCAGAACAATCTTCTAGACCTGGACAAACAGCGTTGTTACTGTTGTGGTTCTGTGTCTTCAGGCGGAGCTCGTGGTCTCTGTTCAAACACTAAAAACCACATATTTGTTCAGTGTTTTGGTCGTTCACCGAAACTATTACAACATGAGGTTCAGCTGAGTCCTCGATTTGATGTCATGCTCTTTGGAAATCCATTTAAAGGAGACATTCTGTCATTGATGCAGCTACCCAGGCTTTAATAGTGTTTCTTTGAGGAAGTGGAAGCTTTAAATATAGATATGAATCTGTTCCATCTTCTCATTCTTTATAAAGAATGAGAAGATGGAGAATGAGAAAGTAATTTGTACGTTTAGATTAGAGAGATCTACAGCCCCAGTCCTGGATCTCGAGCCTCAGTCCTGGATCTCGAGCCTCAGTCCTGGATCTCGAGCCTCAGTCCTGGATCTCGAGCCTCAGTCCTGGATCTCGAGCCTCAGTCCTGGATCTCCAGCCTCAGTCCTGGATCTCCAGCCTCGGTCCTGGATCTCCAGCCTCAGTCCTGGATCTACAGCCTCAGTCCTGGATCTACTGCCTCCAACTGGGTTTCTGAGTGGTTCCTCTCTGATGCAGGAGGGTCTAAGGACAGTTTTGATCTAACCCCCTCCTGGACAGTGTTCATCCCGCTCCCTATGGACCAATGTCTTTATGTGTTCGACATTGCGGTAAAGTCCGCCGAGATGACTTCTGTTGTAGTAGTAGTAGTAGTAAGTAATCTTTATTTATATACTGCCTTTTCACAGCAGATCTGAGTCTCAAAGCGGTTTACAATTGTTATTTTGGGCATTTGTTCTCTCACTCCACACAGCGATGGGAGCGGGGTCACCAGTACAGGAGGCACATGCCAGAACTATTGGACATATTTTTAGTGGTAGGGGAAAACTGAGAACCCGGAGGAAACCTACGCAGACACAGGGAGAACATGCAAACTCCACTCAGAAAGGCCCTGGTCCGATCGTGATTCGAACCCAGGACCTTCTTGCTGAGAGGCGAGAGTGCTATCCACTCAGCCACAGTGCCGCCGTGATTTATGGCTGTCTGCAAATAAATTGAATTGAAGTTATGTTTTAATATAATTCAATGATCAAAATGAGAGCAGAAACAGAACTGAACCAAAGCCTGAGTATTGTAAACTGCTCAGGTGAATACAGTTTACCTTGTATTATTACTTCTTGCGTTCAGGATTTAATATTTATAGTTATTTTAATGTTCTGGTTTTATTGATAAACCTATCTGTAAAATGATGTACAGCTTATGAGCCTAGACTCGTATGGAGAGCTGCACAGACGTCCACTAGGGGCCACAGAACACCTCTTCGCGGGCCGCAGATAGCCCGTGGGCCGCAGTTTGAGACCCCTGCCTTAATCCCTGTGGTCCCGTGTTGCAGGCTCCGTGCTGAGGCTCTGGTGCGGAGCGCAGTCGGTCGTCTGCGTTGTCTCTGATCCGGTCATGTTCGTGTCCGTTTCCTCGATCGACAACAGCACCAGACCAGGTAACACAACTTGTTTTGTGTAGCAATGTTTGTTTTTGCAGTGTGTGTGTGTGTGTTTTGCAGTGTGTGTTTTTGCAGTGTATGTGTAGTGTTTTCCAGTGTATGTGTTTTTTCCAGTGTGTGTGTGTTTTTGCAGTGTGTGTGTTTTTGCAGTGTGTGTGTGTTTTTGCAGTGTTTGTGTTCTTCCAGTGTGTGTTTTCCATTGTATGTGTTTTTTCCAGTGTGTGTTTTTGCAGTGTTTGTTTTTGCAGTGTGTGTGTGTGTGTTTTTGCAGTGTGTTTTTTCCAGTGTGTGTTTTTGCAGAGTTTGTGTGTGTGTTTTTGCAGTGTGTCTTTTTGCAGTGTATGTGTTTTTTCCAGTGTGTCTTTTTGCAGTGTGTGTGTTTTTTCCTGTGTGTGGTTTTCCAGTAGGGGTGGGAACCTAAGGGTACCTCACGATACGATACGATACACGATACAAAGCTCACAATAACGATAATATCACGATAACAATATTACGATAACGATTTTATCACGATACGACGAATATTGATATTGTAGGGTGAGAAAATGTTGATATCACACATAACTTAAGTTATGTACCTGATATCGGAGAATTGGATAAAAACAACCATGTAATAAATACAATAATTGATAATAGCTTTATTTAGGGGCACCAGGGAATAACTCCCAACTGTTAACGTGCATATGACGTAACAATATCAATTAATTGGCTCATTTATTGATTAAGTAATCTCATGAGTCCTTTTATTATTTAATTAGCTAATTAGTCCAATTCTCTTCAATAGAATCTGAAGGTAGTGAATTCTTTTACAAATCAGTGACCCAATTTCTGGAGTTAAAAGTACAAATATCACTTTCAGACAAAGATGGTTTTGTAGATTTAATGAAGTATACACAATACAGACTAGATATGAAATATGCAAATTGTCAAGAATAACATGAAGGAAACGTTGATTTCAAGATACATTGTTAAAATGCTAGGCTAAGGTGAGCTTAGCAAGGCTCTTGCCTATGAATGGATTGGTATAGGCTGAGGCCTGCATGTGTTCAGCCTTGGTAGGAGAAGTATTCTTTGAAGTATAGGTTTTAATAAAGCCAACAGCTGTGTGTAGCAACAGCGCAGATCATACAACCAGAATAGCCTTGGGTGAATAGCAGTCCTTGGGTCTTGATGGCGTTGGATGGAGGCTTCTTGTCCCCAGGGCCTGGACCATGCGGCTGCCTCATGCGGTCCTCCCACGATCCACAGTCTAGGTGCCAAAACTCAGCAACTTCTTCCGGTTGAAGCTGGAGGCTATTGAAGGGTTGTGGAAGTCCTCTCAAACGTGGAGCTGAGGTTTGAGGCCATCTAAGAGGCCCGAAGCCCCTTGGTTGCCTGAGCAGAGCCCAGGGCAGAGCCCAGGGAGGTCTCGTCACTCCGTGGTTCCAAAGCAGACTGGGTTGTCTTCCCTTGTTGTAGAGTCGTTGGGGGAAGGGTGTTGCCATGGCACTTATCTTAAAACATTATTGCCCACAATAAACCTGAACCACAAGGATTTACACACAGTTGAGACAGAAGTTTATAATATGTCTCAATATACAACAAAATGTCTTTGATTGAGGAAAGAGGTCATTTTAATTTATCCTACAACCCCCCCCCTTTGTGTCCAGCTCCGCAAACAAAGCGAGAGGTTGACACAACACAATTTTGATTATGACCGATGACGAACGTTCACTGTCCAAGTTCTTTACGGGGCAGAGCTCTCAGCACAAAGTAGAGCTCTCAGTAGGAGGCGGAGTTCTCAGCAGGAAGCAGAGCTCTCAGTAGGAGGCGGAGTTCTCAGCAGGAAGCAGAGCTCTCAG